GAATCAACTGTTTAGTGCATAGTGAATGAATGGCCATTGGATGGGGTAGTAGGCTGCAAATGCTAGCTAGTGGGCCGAATAACATAAGGTAATAAGATACAAAGGTACGAAGGTAGCTATATCTCCAATATATAGATATATATATGTATACATACATACGTAAATAAGAGGGACTAAATTTCACCAACGCTTATCCAAAGTAGAATATGCGATTTAGTTGTTGCGTGTTAGTAGCAAAATTGCGATGTCATATTACTACCTACTACTACTGTCAATAGGGCAGCAGTAAATGTTCAATATTGCCTTTCCTAATTGATTCGGATTGACGCAGCACTTGCATTTCAGATGGTGGCAAGCGTTCATCTCATCAATGCCACCATTTGGACTGGTTCTCAGTTTGGAAAACAAATCTTTTACTAAAACACTAGTGCCCCACCACTATACCTTGCCACTTTTACACCATAATAACCCTAATCCTCACAAATGCACACACTGCCCACCTTTTCACCAACGCATTCTGCAAATTTCACTCTACTACTCATGTGTGTCTTCATGTCATTGCGTCTTCTTCATTGCTGATGATGCTGCTGCGCTTTGATGTGGTAATGCTGAGGTGACCAATCACATGCACTGCAATACTATCGTGCTGTAATGAGGGATCGTGTATCCGGCATGGCTAGTGGTGGTGATGGCGGTAGTGGTGTCTCCGTGGCTCAATGGTAGCGCGTCCGACTCCAGATCAGAAGGGTGCGTGTTCAAATCACGTCAGGGTCAGTGCTTATTCTTTCTTCCCTTCTTCTCATCTCCATCCCTCTCTTGCGGCCTCTACTTATAACCCGCCTGCAACAAACCTCACACTTGTAATCCATCTCCATTCATCACCTGCGCCTTTCCCTCACTTTACTGTCATGGCACATATTCTCCTCCCTCTTTTACACTACGCTACTTTTCCAACCTGCCAACTTTGATTGCTGGCGATGTGCCAGCCCATAGAGGAGAGAGGCGAGCTAATGAGAGGCGGCAAGAGATGAGAGGTCCTTATTAAATTCAATTTTCTTTGTTGTGCTGCGTATTTTTTTCTGAATCCCATATTTGTGACTTAGGTGATATTACGATTAATGGAGTAGAAGATTTGTTCATGGATATCTAAAAAGTGCTGTTGCATGCCAACTTTAAAGCAGGTGGGTTTTACATACTACAAGCTCGTTTAAGTGGTTAAACAGTCACCTGGAAAGGATTTTTATTATTGCAGCCAGTAATTTGACTATAATTTCAGTGTTATGCTTGATAGGATTAGCAATTTTAAACAGACCATATTGCTGCCTACTTACATTATCCTGGAGGCAGAGAAGGAGTTTAATGAACGTCGGTGAAATTGGAAAGGGCTGTAGGAGTACTGCGAACGTAAGTTCAAATGGTGCATTTGAAACAGTGTTTGAAAGGCAGCTCATTGAAGATAGGAATCATCCCTTTCATCCTCGTTATTTTTTAATTTAAAACAAAATTGGACCATCAAGAGCTCGAACTCGTAGTAGTAAAAGTATCACCGAGGAATTGATAAAACTATGGCATTATATTGATCGCCAACCTCATCACTTTAATAGTGAGTCTATCCTAACAATTTATTTTATTGAAAAAGTTGGAGAGCATCATCATAAAACCACACTGGAGGCTAGAATTCCAACTTGCTATTTGACAATGTGGTAACGCTTCAATGAATTTGCAGCAAAGCACCCACAGTCATATTTACTAAACCGTATTGGCGTTGGTCCATGAGAGTACCTTTGAACAATGGGTGGCATCGATTAACAAGGGTAACTGTAGTGTTTTTAATTGAAGGCCAAATGCTGTAAGAGCGTAGCAGAGCCGACCGGAGATACGATCTACCTACTCAACAGTCCCTTGCTATCACTCGCTCAAATTTAAACCCTGCATGTCGCCACGGCTTCCTGGATCGTGTCTGCCCTCAGGCTTTACATAATTCAGCAATGGACGCTTCAGTCGGCCCACACTCTTATGCATTCTATTATCATTTCGCTTTTCAACATTCTTTATCACCCTTCTAAACTACCACTCCTCCTTGGTTTGGAGAGGAGTTGCTTAGCATGGATTCTGAGCGCAAAACTGAAAGTAATCAGACGAAAGGGATTGGCAGCGGCGGAATTCAAAGCCGTGCTCTGTCAGAATGGTATCTGAAAGCAGTGACTTAGAAAACTCGGCCACACTGCTTTAATTAATCTCGTACTTCCACAGTGACTTTAATCCTCACCTCGTGCATTCCAGCCTCCTATCTACCCCTACTGCCATATGCAAATCAATGCACACAGGCGAACCGACACTTTCATCTCCAAATATGAGCTCACCTCTATAATCACCCTACTCCAACCACCCCTACTTCATATCTACTCCCCCCTCTCCCCAACTTAAGCATGACTGAAGCAGAATAACATCCACTGCATCCACCAATGCCAATGCACTACACTGTATGGCATCGTGTCATCCTCACTTATCATAACCCTTCGCATGACAATGTCATCCTATCCTATCGCATCTTACATCGTCGCAGGGCACCGAACCTCACTGTACGATACCATATCACACCCCACCACACAGCGCACTACATGGTCAGTTGCACCAAGTACATAATAAAGAAGTTAAAAGGAAAAAAATGAGAGCAGAAACCAGGTTTCATTTGGCTGGGAAGCGGAGCCAAGTTCGACCACCAGCGTGGCAAGCGTGCAGTCTACCAATGGAAAAAAGATGCATGCGTCGAGAGTGGATAAATCAGGGATGGACAGATAGATGAAGCAAGGATACATTTATGCATTTACGGCTCCCAGATGGGTGACCATGGATTGCGTGAAGGGTTAAATCTATAGTGGGACGGCTAGACTAATCCAAGGTGGATAGATAGAGTCGAGTTAAATGCATGCTGCTTGGATGTGAGGTAAATATGTGGACGTAAGATAAACGGATTAGTATTAAAAAGTTAAATACCATCGAATGGAAAAATTAGATCAGGTGGACAGATTAGAAGGAAAAAGGTAAATGGATGGATAAGGATGGATGAAGAGAAGGCCAGATGGTAGTAGGGAGGGGCCGTTGACTATGCAGTAGATGTATATATAATGGGCGGAAGTTAATGGAGGAAATCAGGTTGCACAAAACATAAATTAACACAGTAAAATTGGACGAAGCAGAAGTGGACCCACCCACTAGTACCTCTTACGCTGAGTCGCTGCCTTAGCTTCGACCCGAGCCTGCATCACATAGAGACCGAAGGTAGTCATGTCCACAGCAAAGGCTGACACAAACTAGTTCTTATGGAGGCCCTTCAAATCAGTCTCGTGTGCCGAAGTCTCTTGCTACTCCTTCCTGGCTAGGCGTTGTTTTAACTGGCAGCCAAGTTAAGCTTTCACTTCCAGTAAAACAGAAAATGTTTAAACGACTACCAAAGATTCCAAAATGGACAAGGCAAATCTATTTAATATAGACGGCTAAAAATGGGCCATGAGGTGCTTGTTACCTATGTGAATTAGGATAGTGCGAGTGGTGATTTTCCACCTTCAAGCGCTTTACCTACATGACGCATGGGACAGACTTCGCCTATGCCTATTAATCGCGCTAAGACAAAAAGAAGTGCTGTAGAAACAGTAGATGCATTGACTTTGAATCATATCCCAGTAGCTAACACGAGGGCGAGTTGCCAATTATTTGGACAAAAAGTACACCCTGGCTGCAAGTCCTCAGAGTAATGAGGCTGCGGCTATGGTAAGTAGAAAATCGGAGCCCGCGGTATCATCGACCGGTGGAATGAAGTACAGGTGTGGTCGGTTGATGGATGATTGAGGTATGCAGTTCTCTACTGAAAGGCAATCGTAATAGTATTGGTCACACAGATGAGCCAGCCGTGTACCACAGGAGAGACGGGCCTGAGCTGAT